GGACTGACAGTACATTGCCCTAAAGGAAATTATTTTGCAGGGCTCACCACCAAAAGAATGCTTTTCTTTGGCAACTAACCATCACCATTAGTAGAAGTAAGAACTATAAAAATAATCCAAGGAAGTTCTCTTACTGATGGCTGTAGATTACATGTTCGTTTTGTTCCTGTGTTGATGAAGACCTCCAAATCTCAGCTGGGGGCTGCATTATTTCAATTTTAAAAGAAAAACAATGTGTTTTGAGGTTTTAATTATTTCTCAAACTTACAGCTTTGGATGTTTTAAAATAAGAATTTGAAACTGTAATTTAGGTTTGTAACTTTTGTAAATTTAAGTGCATTTAATTTCTGAAAATTTGTTTGCTTTAATTCAGCAGTTAAAATTGGACATTGTGAATGTTTGTAAAATTTAAAGGCATGGCAGTTGTTTTCTTAAAGAACTTGTTGGCCCCTTCTGTGCCTGTGTACACACATATTATCCAAATCCACACAGCCTTTGTATACACTGCACACACCATGATGCACACACCATGCAGCCCCTGCAGCATGCTTGCTTTGCTTTTCCTGCCTGCACTGAGACACCCACTTGCACCAATGATCAGGCTCACTCCACATCTCCCTGCAGCCCTGGGCTCCTCCAGGCCCTGTCTATTGCTTTATGCTCAGCCATGGATCTCCTTACCCAGATGGCACACAGGAAGTTCCTTGTTCTCTGGAGAGGTGTCCACAGGCTCAGGAGTCCTCAATTACAAACAGATCTTTGCTGCAGCCTAATAATTTCTTTTCCCTCCAGAGGATCCAGGTGGGCAGATGTGTCCACAGCTACAGTAGAATGAGTGTTTGCCCAAGAGGCCTGAGTGACTTCTGAATCTTCAAGACCCACATCTTCTAGGAGTGACTGAAGTGGTAATAACAAATCCTGGAGTGCTTGCATGCCCCTCATCAGTTCCACTGCAGAGAACTCTGGCCAGTTGCCCTATTGCTTCTTTGTAAGGAGTGTGATGGGAGGAGAAGACTGACAACCTTAACACTGGTGGTTTCAAATGCAAAAATGAATGAAGTGAGAGCACATGTGTGGAGCAGAAGCCCAGGAGCGAGAGGCTTATGCCTGGGAGCAGATAATGAAGAGTGCCACTCTGCTAGCACAATGCTCAATAGCAGCACTTCAGAGTACCTTGTCTACTTTGTGTGTGTTTGAAATTGTCATTATAAGATGCTTATTGACAGCAAGTACCAATATAACAGAGAATTCTAAAGGGCATCAAATCCAAAAAAGAAAAAGAAAAAATTAAAAGGGAAATCTTAGTGCAGGGTGCCATGATTTCTCAAGTTGGTGATGTTATGGCAAGATTGCCATAAGTCACTGAGTCAATCTTAAGGCAGGAGGCAGAACCATCTTTATTCACCAGCTGGTGGGCCAAGGGGTGCAAGTCTACACCTTCAACTCCTTCATGGGATAGAGGACACCTTTTAAACATGCCAACTTATTAATCATATGTGGCTGTCACTATGATTTAAGACTACAAATATCAGGAGATCCAAAATCATAAGCAGAAGGGTAAGTGTGGTACATCACCTATAAATTATTTGAGATTATCTTCACTCAGCCTTGAGCCAGGGAGATTTAGATTTGGCATTGAAAACTATTTTGTGGCTCCTCCCACTTAATGGGTTATGCAATATCAGTGACCTCTGTCTTCACTCAGCTAGGGAGACCACTTTTGTAGCTCTGGAGTTGAGCATAACCCATTGGAAACTGGACAGCTCACAGCCCACCTCCTATCTTAATTGGTGAAGAAAATTCTAGGGGAAACCTTTTATGTTTTCCTTATATAAATAAAGCAAACACAGGTTCTTGCTCTCTCTTTCCAACTTGGAAGCTTGATCCCTAAGATCACAGAGCCATCTTGCCCTCCCTTTATAAAATTGCTTACTATTTCCTGTGGTTTCTATGCTGTTTTTTGTTTTTTGGCCTTAGCTTTTATTCCACAGCCAGCCCGCTCCACACAGAGGAATATCAAATTCCACTGTCCGCATGGGACATGTGTGAGAGGAAAATGTGTCAAAATGACCTTAGTTGAGTACAAGTTGAAGAATGGTCACCAACATCTACACAAACATTCTCTGACACAGTACATTACCCAAGAAAAATGGAGACAAACAAACAAACAAAAAACCAAAACAATTGTACATGGTATAAGAACAGAAATATTTGTATTTCTAAGCAGGGTGTGCTAAGCATAATCAGTATGACTGGGGGGTTCTCATGGAAGAAGCATTTCTTACATGACATGGAGTCTCAGGATAAGGTGGCGTCTGTTTGGTCATTGCCCATAGCTGGGCCCATAACAGTGAGAAGGGATCTTCAACTCTATTGACTGCCAGTGAATCAACCTTTGTTAGCAGTTTCCTTGGCACAGCACTTGGGGATGCTGTACAAGTCATGCATATGTTCAAATGATAGTGCTCATTCTGTTCTCCAAGTTTCTTTAAGAATGCAGCAACCAGAAAATAGAACCTTTCAAAGGCAAGTCCCTTGAGTGACTTTTGAGACAGCAACCTATGTGTTCCCACAGAAAAAACCTACCATCCTTGGCTCTCCCCATAGGGCTATGGAAGTCTCCTGGGAACTCCTTAAGATCATTTAAGCCAGGAACAATGGCACACACCTGTAATTCCAGTGGCTCAAGAGGATAAAGCAGGAGGATCAAGAGTTCAAAGCCAGCATCAGCAACTTAGCAAGGCCCTAAGTAACTCAGCTAGACTGTCTCTTAAAAAAACAAACAAACAAAAAAACAAAAAAAAAAAAACTTCTTTCACTGAACATTTAAGATTTGTATGGGTATATATTTCTTTCAAGGCACAGTGGCACATGACTGTATTCCCAGGGACTCAGGAGGCTAAGGCAAAAGAAGTGCAATTCTGAAGCCAGCCTCAGCAACTTAGTAAGATCCTTTCTCAAATAAAAAATTAAAAAGTAGAAATGTTGCTCACTGGTATAGCAGCCCTGGGTTCAATTCCCAGTACCAAAAAATAAAGTGCCTTTTATTGTGATACTGTTTCACATATAGGTCTTAAAAAATACCAGTATTCCATGTTAACTTAGGTAAAGTAGAGATAAGGTAATCACCCTTATTGCACTTGATCTCTTGTCTCATAGGTTGAGCAGTCTCTCTTCTGTATTGAAGGTGACCGGTTATAAAATTCTCATAGATGACTTGGCTCAAGACTTACCATCTGGAAGCAGTTATTTCCTTTTTTGTTTGGGAAACTCTGATTATCTTTCATGAAAACAAGAAAAAATAAGGGGGAGATATAAATATATATATAATTTTTTAAGTGAGTGGCTTATGCTATACTACTGTTATAGTGGGGTAAATAAATGAAACATACCACATACACCCCTCACTTTTAAAAAAGAAATGTGAACTTCCCATTTCAAAGCCTGCTGTTCAGACTTGCTGACAAGCACATAAGGTGGCATTTGGGGTCACAGTGCTCAAAATAGAACCACATGCCACTGGAAAAAGGAGGAAGTCATAATGAGTGACTGGACCTTTTCTTTAGAATTTATAAATTTATGATTCAGGTATTCCACTTCTGGTTATGTGCTGAAAGTGAATGAGGGGTTCATAAGTACAGTGTTAGGGGGAAAAACAAGTACTAGGGCTCTAGGGTTCAATTACACAGTAGGGTAACTACAGCTATTAATGTGTGGTGCATTCAAAAATGAGAAGAAACACTCTCAATGTTTTCCCCATAGTGATGAAAACTATATGATGTGTGAAAATTATGTGAATTACTGATTGGATCATGTGATATGTACATGTGTTGAAATTTTCCTCTAAACCCAATAGTTACAATTCTTCCCTGTAAGTTGAAAATTATTCAAAATGAATGCAATAACTCAGGCTGGGGTTCTAACTTAGTGGTAGAGCACCTGCCTACACTGAGTTTGATCCTCACCAGTAAATTAATAAATGTATAGACAAATAAATAAATAAATGTATCATGTTCGATAAAAAATATTTTTTAAAAATGCAATAACACCTCAGTCACTCCCAAATTACAATTTAACTTTCCGTAGAAAGTTAAAAAACATATAAAAAAATAAAATAAAATTTTAAAAAACTGATACCAGAAATTGAATCCACTAGTGCTTAAAAGTCACATCCCCAGTTCTTTTTGTTTCATATTTTGAGACAGAGTCTAAGTAGCTGAGATTGGCTTTGAACTTGGATCCTCCTGCCCCAGCTTCTTGAGTTGCTGGCATTAAAAATATACAACACTGAGACTGACATCTGTAGTACAAAATTTTAGAGTACTAAATCAAAATAAAGAACTATGGGGCTTATTTTCATGTTTTTATACCTTATCTATAACTGTATCAATTTCTCCATAATTACAAACAGAAGAAATGAATATAGATCTGATTTATGAGAAAACTATTCTCCAAATAAGTTGCTATTTCTAAAAAGATTAATGGAGATATTTTAGTATGTTTTTATTATCTGTTATATGCAACCCTTAGTAAAGAGGAACAGTGTGATACCTCTGACATAATACCATGATTCAATACAAAACAATGTTAACACATTAACACTTTTTACTTTTATTTAGTAACAAAATCCATACATAATCTGAATAAAGTGTTTCAAAATCCACTGTAAAGTCTCAAAAATAAAGATTAACAACTCTCAGGAACAAGTCTTCTGATAAAAAGATCTATGTTAGGATTGTTTTCTCTAGTTTTCAAAAGTGAAGATATTGAGTAATTTTTGAGACAAGTTTTATACACTATTCTATGATTATTTGAGAGAATTTCTTTTTTATACTACATCAGCCAAGGATATTTAATAAATTTTACGCAAAAGTTAAAGGCAGGGCTGGGGCTGAAGCGCAGTGATAGAACACTTGCCTCAGAAGTGTGAGGCACTGGATTCAATCCTCAGTACCACATAAAAATGAATAAATAAAAATAAAGATGTTGTGTTCATCTACTACTAAAAACATTTTTTTTAAAGTTAAAGGCAATTCCTCATTTTCTTCTCACTTCAAGTTATGAGGTACAGATAAGGGCTTTGCCATATTTTAAAATATTTTCCAAGGGATTTATTCAGTATAGATATTTTGCTGTTATCAATTGGCCTTATATCTAAATATAAGGCATTTTATTTCAGGCAAATGTCTTTCTACATTTTCTATAGATATCAGGTTTCTAATGTTAAAGAATGTTTGAAATTTGAGAAAAGACTTGGACATGGTATTTAAATTGTTTAGGGTTTCTATGCATTATGAATTCTCCAGTGATAAGCAATGTTTGAGAAATTGCTGAGGTCTGCAACAGTTTTTACACTTGTATTATCTCTCCCCATTACTCAGTGCTTCAGTGAGTAAGGAATTAACAACTATAGACAGAGTGTCACATTTGGGTCTTTGTATAATTTCACTCTCCTATTATTCATGTAGTGTATAATAAGAGTTGAACCATTTTTAAAGTCTTTAGCAAAATATTAACATTTGCAGGACTTCTCTCTAGTATGAATTTTCTGATGTTCAGTAAGGTGTGGTCTTTGAGTAAAAATTTTTCCACATTCTTCACATGCGAAGGGCTTCTCTCCAGCATGAATTCTCTGATGTTGAGTAAGGTTTGAGCTTTGAGTAAAACTTTTCCCACATTCATTACATTTGAAGGGCTTCTCTCCAGTATGAATTTTCTGGTGTTGAGTAAGATGTGGTTTTTGAGTAAAACCTTTCCCACATTCTTCACATTTGTAGGGTTTCTCACCTGCATGAATTCTTTGGTGTTGAGTACGGTGTGAGCTTTGAGTAAAACCTTTGCCACACTCTTTACATTTGTAGGGCTTCTCTCCTGCATGAATTCTCTGGTGTCGAGTAAGGCATGTTTTTTGAGTAAAACTTTTTCCACATTCTTCACATTTGTAGGGCATCTCTCCAGTATGGATTCTCTGGTGTTGTGTAAAGTATGCTCTTTGATTAAAACCTTTGCCACATTCTTCACATTTATAGGGTTTCTCTCCTGCATGAATTCTCTGGTGTTGAGTAAGTTGTGAGCTTTGAGTAAAACTTTTCCCACAATCACTACATTTATAGGGCTTCTCTCCGGTATGAATTCTCTGGTGTTGAGTAAGGTATGCTCTTAGATTAAAAGCTTTCCCACACTCATTACATTTATAGGGCTTCTCTCCTGCATGAATTCTCTGGTGTTGAGTACGGTGTGAGCTTTGAGTAAAACCTTTTCCACACTCATTACATTTGTAGAGTTTCTCTCCTTCATGAATTCTTTGGTGTTGAGTAAGGCCTGAACTCTGAGGAAAACCTTTCCCACATTCATTACATTTGTAGGGCTTCTCTCCAGTGTGAATTTTCTGGTGTTGAGTAAGATGTGGTCTTTGAGTAAAACTTTTCCCACATTCTTCACATTTGTAGGGCTTCTCTCCTGCATGAATTTTCTGGTGCTGAGTAAGGTGTGATCTTTGGGTAAAATCTTTCCCACACCCTTCACATTTGTAGGGCTTCTCTCCTGCATGGATTCTCTGGTGTTGAGTAAGGCATGTTCTTTGAGTAAAACTTTTCCCACATTCTTTACATTTGTAGGGTGTCTCTCCTGTATGAATTCTCTGGTGTTGAGTAAGGGTTGAGCTTTGAGTAAAATCTTTCCCACACTCATTACATTTGTAGGGCTTCTCTCCGGTATGAATTCTCTGGTGTTTGGTAAGGGATGAATGATCCCTAAAAGCTTTGCTACATTCCTTACATTTGTAGGTCTTCTCTCCATGATGAATTCCCTGGTGTCGAGTAAGGTGTGCTCTTCGATTAAAAGCTTTGCCACATGTTTCACATTTGTAGGGCTTCTCTCCTGTATGAATTTTCTGATGTGTGGAAAAGGCTGAATGAGCATTAAAAGCTTTGCTACATTTCTTACATTTGTAGGGCTTCTCTCCACTATGAATTCTCCGGTGTTCAGTGAGGTGTGCTCTTCGATGAAAGCCTTTCCCACATTCTTCACATTTGTAGGGCTTCTCTCTAGTATGAAGTCTCTGGTGTTCAGAAAGGTATCCTCTTTTTGTTAAAACTTTCCCACATTCTTCACATTTGTAGGGATGCTTTCCAGTATGAAGTCTCTGATGCTTAATAAGGCTTGATCCGAAAGTAAAAGCTTTGCCACATGTCTCACATTTGTAGGGCTTCTCTCCTGTATGAATTCTCTGGTGTTTGGTAAAGGTTGAATGATCCTTAAAAGCTTTGTTACATTCCTGACATTTATAGGGCTTCTCTCCTGCATGAATTCTCTGGTGTTTAGTAAGATATACTTTTTGAGTAAAACATTTCCCACATTGTTCACATCTGTGGGGCTTCTCTCCTGTATGAATACTTTGGTGTTGAGTTAGGACTAAAAAATTCTTAAAAACTTTTTCACATTCCTTACATTTGTAGGTTTCCTCATTGCTATGCCATCTCAGGTGTTTAGAAAGGGTTGAGCAATTATTAAAGGATTTGCCACATTCTTCACATTTGTAGGGTTTCTCTCCACTATGAGTTCTGTGGTGTTTAACAGGGGGAGGTCCTAGATTAAAAGTTTTGCCACATTCTTTAAATTTGCAGTGTTGATCACTGCTATGGTACTTGTGTTTAGAAAGGGGTGAGCAACTCCATGTTTGGACACATTCCTTAAATTTAGGGGGCTCCCTTCCAGGATAAGCTCCACTGTATTGAGGAAGGCTAGCCGTTGGGTTAGAAGCTCTCTCACATTCCTCACATTTGCAAGGCACCTCTTGGCCCTGAGTACTTGGATGGATCATCAGCTTTGAGCACTGAGGAAAGGCGTTTCCACATTCATCATCTCTGTAAGAGTTCTGTGCACAATGGCCACATTGATGTTCTCTCATATTGCAACCAGAGCTGGAGTTCTTCTGTGTTTTGCTACATTTGTAATTGTTTTCTCCAATGTAAGTACACTGGCTTCTTAGAATAGAGACCTGGATGAAGGTGTTGCTTGTTTCATTACATGTGTTACACACTTTCCAGTAATCTATATCTGAATTTTGATTAAGCAGTAATGAGTACATTGGGGCCTTCCCACAATCATTAAAAGTGTATGTTTGGGAACAAGAAGGAACTTTTTGTTCATTGCAGAATAATGGACAGTTTGTAAAGAAACTTTCAAAATGATCTCTTTTAGAAACTTGTCCTTCAGTTATGCATTGAATATTTTTCTGAGCTGTTAAATGTTCTTGAGGTCTGTTGATGGTAAAATTTTCATTATGCATAGTCAGTACTAATTTGTCTTGTCCTTTATAATATGATTTCTGACCTTCACTCTTACCTACATAGTCTCCATTTTTTTGTTGTTGTAAATAGTCGAGGTTACAATATCCATATCTTCTCTTTATCACTTTCTTCAATAAATGTTCTAAGCCAGGCTCTGGTGATATTTCCTGAATATGATGAGAGATCATGGCTGAAATAAATAACAATTACTTTACATATTATACTTGAAATATCTCTTGCTAATACAACATGAAATTATAGCAGTCAGGACATTGGCAGGGTGGTAGAATAGTAACATTAAAGGCCATAGTTACTCTGTAAATATATAGACTAAATAACAATGGATAGACAAAATTACTTTGTGAGAATTACCCAAACCATGGTGAGCGTTCACAGTATTCACCATGAGTATATCATTAAGAAGAATAATGTGGTAGAGAAAAGAAAAGTGTAGTAGTTTTATCCACTACAGGTCTTCTCCTTGAGAATATACCATTGTACAATTAGGAAAAATCCACCCACTACCTTCTTCTCTCTCAATAGAAAAAGGATAATGTGACCCTTGAACAGTTCTGGCTTTTTTTGGAATTGTCTGAAAACCACTTTCTGTTATCATGACACAGACCTGGATGTAAGAGAGATTTTGGATAACAATAACACAAATATTCAAAAGAGGGTAAAGAGCCTCTGATCTCTCATTAGAGATTTAGACAAACCTTTGTAATGGTAAACACACACACACACACACACACACACACACACACAATGTCAGTGTTACCTGGATAAATTTACTACATGGTGATCAAGACAAATGACTTGATTTAATTTTTATAATTTTGTTCATTTACTGATTCACTTCATTAACAAATTCAATGTCATTTATTTACTAAATATTTCATGGTATTTTTAAATTTTTTTAAAAATAATTTAAAATAATTATTTCATATAATTATCATGTTACTGCTTACAAAACACTGCATTCATTCTATAACCCTTTGTCAAGAATACAGTACATTAGCTGGTATAGTGACACAAGCCTGGAATTCCCACAACTCAGGAGGCTGAGGTAGGAGGATCTCAAGTTTCAAACCATCTGCAATAATAGAGTAAGGCCATAAGCAAGTTAGAAAGACCCCATTTCAAACTGAAAAATATAAGAGGGCTGGGGACGTGGCTCAGTAGTGCTTTGGGGTTCAATACTTGGTAACTCTCCCAAAAAAGAATATAATACATGATACTCACTATGTAGTACAATACAACTTTTGACTTTCTGATACCCATTAAAATAATATTTTGCAGACTTTGGCCAACATTCTCCAAAACACAGCAGTAGCTGGTAACCATCTTACTCTGCACTTTTGGTTTCCACATGTGAGTCAGATGAGGCTGTGACAGGGTATTTCAATGAATAAGTATATAAGTTATATTAAAGAAACTGCTTTATGACACTAATATATTACAATGCCTTCACCTAGTGTTCTCCATGAATGTGCAGATTTTTGAGACACCCCCAATAGTGGAAATGCTGTCAAATCACACTCACCCTCACAAGGAAAAGTGTTTGGGTTGTTAATTTGAATGTACTGGAATATCACCACAGAAGAAGGAGGAGACTAAAGAAGTTGAATACATGCTAAACATAGGGCATTACCTGTCCTTCTAGGACAGCAAAGGAAATAAACTTAAGCTTCTGGAAAACCATTTCTGTGGCATGATAATTTTTCCACCAACATTTGGAAGTTTGGTTTCTTCCTTGATCTTTGGACCTCTCACCTACATCATCTGATTCATGAATTTCTATCCATCTGGGTACATGACTCAGGGCTCTCTCCTTTGCTCCAGAGGAAGGTGCTCAAATACTATCTAGATAATAAGATGTGTTCATTGGAAAATGAAATGATTACTTGTTGGGATTCTCCCTGTGACTACTGATGCTTCTATTCTGGTACCATAAAGGGAATAAATTAGACTTCAACATGTAGGTCACATCATTCCATATCACTGAATTACTGTAAGTACCACTAATCTAAAGTGAAGGGTATATATCAACCCAAGAAAGGGAGAAATGAAGGACTGAAAGAAATGGCAGTAACATTTTCTTCTCTGTAACAAAAACTGCCCAAGCCTTTCTTCATCTTGAAAGCAAGAATCTGAGACTCATTCATGAAGAGCAGAAGTGTCCAATAGATATTCATCAAGGGAAGGAAATTGTACAATTAGGAATTCTGATTAATTAGGAATTCTGAAGAGAAGCTCTGCTCACCCAGGAAGACCAGGTTTCTGTAGGTCTCCAGCATCACATCTCTGTATAAATTCCGCTGAGCAGGCTCCAGGCATTCCCATTCCTCTTCAGAGAAATCAATGGCCACGTCCCTGAATGTCAACAGTTCCTAAAATAAGAATAGGTCAGTTAACAGCACATTGACCATTTGATAATTCACAGAGCTTGTAAGCTGACTGAAGATGAAATGAGAGTTAGCAGACCTGGCTCTCAAATAAGTGAGTCACTTTAATTATTCAGGAAAATACTTTGAAACACAGTGATATTCTCTATTATCTAACTCAGAGGAAAGAATGTCATAAGTTTGAAAAAAGTATATATACTACAATTACATAAAAAGTAAAATTAAGGCATTATATTATAGTACTATACACTTTAATTCCAATTTATATAGAATAAGATAAATCATCTATTTCTCAGAAGAGAAAGTTATAATGAGTAAGAAGGATGGTTCTCAAATTTTAAATGCACAGCCACAAATCAACGATTTACTAAAATACAGACCCTAGTTCAGTGGGTGTGAGATTGGACATGGTTTTCTGAATATGTAGCAATGATTCCAATTTAGTGATCCTAGTGCCAGTGGTCTAAGAGAAACTCTTCAATAGCAGTGAGGTAGACCACTATAAGAAAAAAACATTGAAGGATCTGAGTTCAAGTATTTTAAGAGATTTATGTACTTTATTAAAATAACAACTATCAATGACAATCCTTTTTGAACATTTCAAATATATTCGATCTCACTCTAAATATTTTCCATGTCTTAATGCAGATAACCAGAAGAATGTGATGGCAGTAATTGTATCAATCTTTTATGACATTTGCCAAACCCTGGTAAAAAATGGTAGATCCTGATTTTTACCCAAGTTTATTTGAGTTGCAATTCAGAAAAAAAAAATGCGGGGGAACATTAAAGTCGAGATGAAATGGGAATGTTAAAAGAATTTTCAGAGTAAGGCAATGATCATAAATGAGAAGAGTAATGCAAACATGTTAAGAAGAAACAAGATCAGATTGATCAAATGATATTTAAGTTTCATGTAGAGACACATAGAAATGTCAACTTTATACACTGAACCAATAGACAATTTTTCACGCAAATGAAAATAAGTTACTTATGAAATATAAATCAATTTGGGGTGGATGCTATTTTAAAAGACACTATTGAGATACACATATGTAACGATAGAGAATAAAATAAGATCCACACTGTTCATTTTTTCCCTGTGAATCAAAATTTATTTTGAGGTACTTTATAATTTTCAGGCACTTGGAAAGATATAATTTTTTCCATTTATGGAAAATGCAAGGAGATTATGAGGTGCATGTCTGTGAGCTGCAGGTGGAATAAAATGAAAGCCTGTGGTCTACTTCAGAACCTCCAGCAATAAAGTATCCCTGGTAAACCAAAGGCAGAGGCTGCATTCCCCAAAGCAAAACACAAAGAAAAATTACTAAGAAAGTAGAGTTTCTGTATCAAATATGATGGTTTATGTAGATTATTAAGAAAAAGTCTATCACTACACATGAAGACAAAGAGACAAAAATTACTGTATGGGGAAAATCTGGCAGATAGCATTTATACAAAGCAAATAAGGATAAAATAGCTATAATAGAATAAATTGTTACCATGTGCCAATCGACATAAAAGGACACATCATTAGTGGCCAAATCAAAACTAAATGATATAATAGGGTATTTCAGTAGACTTTCCTTGGCATTCTAGTGATTGAGTCTCTTCTAATTATTCTGTTCTTTCAGGATGTACTAAGGGATAATGAATGAGCGTTTCATTAACTCTTGTGCATTTATAGATGATGGAGCATCCAGATGGAACATAAACAAAGCATGGTACACTTCTTCAGCAATATCTAATGACTCATACATACATCCCCAGTGGGAATCTAGGACCCCAAAACATTCTGATATCCATTTATCAAATCCTGTCAATCCTGCAGGTCATATATGCCTGGCCTGGTTTAGGTGAAAGTGTAAGAACAAAGGCCCCAGCCTAGGGGGTATATCTGGGCATATATATTTAAAGAGTTACAGTTGACTATTCTAAGAAGAAAAGAAAGCACAGTGGCTAAAACATGTAAAGCACAAACCTGAAATGTAGAAATATAAAGGTCTACCCATTCCAAATATAAGGTAGTTTAAAAGGAAAATGCAAAGCCATCCCTTACCTGGGCTACACACCTGGAAACCAACTACATCTTCCTCCTCCTTCTCTAGGCTTCCTTCTCAGAAGTGACTGCCTACAATTCAAACCCATATCTGGAAAACATGAGTCTCAAGAAACAAAAAACATGGTTCCCAAGGACCTTCTTTTGTAGGCTCAAGATTTACTTAATAACACGTCACTGAGCTTTGACCTCTCTGCTTCCCAATTTTACTCATTTAGTTTTGAATGAGAAAGGACCCACAACTCAATTGGAAAAAGTATTCACACTCAGTGGGATTTTGTTTTGCAGTAGGGATTGAATCCAGGGACTATATATAGATTTACCACTGAGC